TACCACCAACACGTGATCCGCCGGACAAAACAACAAACCGTTTTTTAATACTAAGGGAAATGGACACATACGACACACACACATTCCCTACACTTCAACAAAAACAAACAACACCCAGCCAACCAAAATACCTAACAATATCTTCAACTAATGGACAATTAATTAAACTTTCCCCGTTTGTAATAAAAAAAGGTATTGATGCGATATCTACCCAAATAGACAGCATTAAACAGCTTAAAGACGGTTCACTACTGGTTTTTGCACGCAATTCTAAAGTAGCTGAAAAATTTTTAAAAACCAAATCTCTTCTAAACATTTACCCTATCACAGTCAAGCTGCAAGACAACCTCAACACGGTGAAAGGTATAATATACGCCCCATGTCTCAACTTCGTAAAAGAAGATGAAATTGTCCAAGAGCTATAAAGTCAGGGAGTGACCAGTATTTTCAAATTCACCCGCACACTCGACGGAAAAACAACCCCCACCGGAAAAATCGTTGTAAACTTTGACCTGTATCACCTTCCAAAATCACTAGATGTGGCTTGGTACAAAGTAAAAGTGTATCCCTACTACACTAACCCCATGCGTTGCAGAAATTGCCAACTCCTAGGTCATACCAAAACCAGATGCTCTAATCCAAGCACCTGTTAAGGATGCAATTTGACGCCCCATTTTCCAGTTGAATGCACACGCAAACAATGTGCAAACTGTGGTGAAAATCATTCCTCCTCTGATAAAGACTTTCCCAGGTACAAGCAAACAAAAGACATTTTAAAAATTAAAACGATAGAAAAATGCTCTATGGGGGAAGCGCGTCGCAAATATAATGAAAAACACACTCATACACAAAAAACCACAAATTTCATACGCCAACATCACCAACCCAACCTTGAACAAACCAAGCACAAAAACAACGCCAAATACATCTACATCTACATCCGCAACATACAAACGCCCAGCTTCGCCAACAAAAGCTAATATAACTAAAATAGCAAAAACTCAAACGCATATTAACAAACTCATAACCGACAACGACTCTACTACCAATAAGACATCCACCCAAATTACTCAATTTACAAACGAAAATGTAAACTCAAACAAGAAAAATCTACCAACAACTAATCCTTCTCACGAAGACTCACATACCCACTCTAGCCAAACGCAAATCACTTCGCAAACCAACACCACTTCATCTCCACTCAGCCAAATAACACAACAATTATTAAACGAAAGCAGCTATTTCATGTCAGTCTTTGATTCCGAAGAACAGCCTAAACTATAAAAAAAAAACAAAAACAAAAACAAGCAAATTATCAAATCAAACATACATACTTACTCTAATATTACACATACATTCACAAATGATTTTTAAAATAATACAGTGGAACATTAAGGGCTTCCTAAACAACTATAATGAACTTAACATGCTAATAAAAGAACAAACTCCCACTTTCCTGTCTTTGCAAGAAACTCATTGCCCCGCAAATTTTTCTCCAATTGTACCCAAAAACTATCTCAGCTACTTCCATAACACCCCACAAAACACGACATCCAAACAAGGTGTTGGTGTACTAATAGAAACAAATATTCCACACAAAATAGTACCAATAAACACACATCTGCAAATAATCGCGGTCGAAATCAACTTAAACCCAAAATTTACAATAATAAGTTGTTACATACCACCTAATCAACAAATTCCCTGCCAACATCTAACCAATCTACTTGCGTCCATTCAAACACCAGTTGTACTGCTAGGTGACTTTAACAGCTGGAACCCTTTATGGGGCTCTCCATCGCCCAACTCTCGAGGACAAATTCTTGAAAACTTTATAAATGAAGCGGAACTATGCATTTTAAATGACGGTAGACCCACACATTTATCAACACATGGTACTTTAACACACATAGACATCACATGCTCCACACCAAACTTCCTTCCATTTATCACATGGAACGTTTTAGAAGACCTTTATCACAGCGATCACTTCCCTGTGATATCCACAATCACTCTATCACAAACTTACAACACCCACTACACAACAAAAAAGTTTTTATGCGATTTTGCAGAATGGGAAAAATTCAACCAAACTGTGGAAGGCCATACAGCGATAACCCAAACAAGGAAGCAAATAATCAGCGTTGCCATTTTAGCCGTTTTCCGGCTAGATTTAGCCGGTTTTGATAGCAACTAGCCGGAGAAAATTCGATCTAGCCGGCAGCCGATTTGTTAGCCGGTTTGTAAAAAAAAGTTAGCCGTTTTTAGCCGATTTTACTATTTGCCTAATTTTCAGGTGCAAAAAGTAAACAAGTTGTTCGAAAGCAATAATGCAGACCCAATGAAGATTTTTAATGAACTCAATGGTTTACTTTCGCATCTAACTTCCTAGTGGTTATTAGCGCGGACACATTTGATCCTATATGCTCCCCGTTGGAACCACACCTTGATCCATTTCCTCAGTTTTATCACAGTTTTGAAGAGTATTTAAAAACAAAAGTAAGCACAAACGCTTTTGACCACGAAGCCGAGAAAATAATTCGAGAAAATGGTCGCTATTTTATTATCACTTTAATAAAGGAATTACGCCAACGCCTCCCTCCAAATATTGCCACACTAAAAAAAATTGCCTTTTTTCGGTTGGAAATGCATTAAGAGTAATTAAACCAAAAGTATTTGTTCAACTACAGCAACAAAAACACAAATATAATGCCGACGAAATAACATCCATAGAGATGCAATGGCAACGGTTAACGTTACATACCTGGCGTAATTTAGACTCAACTGTAAAATTTTGGGCCGAAGTTTATCAATTTCGAAATGCCCTAGGAGAAAACCCTTTTGCTGACCTTTCCAACCTAGATTTTAGTTTTCTTGTTTTGCCTATAAGTAATGCAGAGGTAGAGCGAATATTTAGTTCAATGAATATAATAAAAACTAAGCAAAGAAATCCAATGTGCGTTAAAACATTAAACGCTCTTTTATATATAAGATACGGTTTAAAACGTGAAGAAAAATGCTACCATAATTTTACTGTAGATGACGATCTCTTAAAATTAATGAATTCAGGTATTGTATATAACAGTGATTCATTTGATGATGGAATACACTGATGAGGAATATACACTCTATATAAATTAATGGTGTTAACTAGTCTTTCGTTTCTTGCGATTTATTTAAATAAAGCATGTGAATTTTCACTAAAACATTTTAGCCGTTTTTAGCCGCTTTTTTTTGCCCATCTAGCCGGTCGGCCCAAAAAGTTCTGGCAACACTGCAAATAATATGACCAACGCAATACGTACAGCAGCTAACCTATACGACCCTCAATCTTCAAATAGAGGCAGAAAACGCGTACCTTGGTGGAACTCATGGCTGGCTTTTTTACGAAGTGGAAAGATGGCAGCATGGCACACTTTCCGTAGACACCCAACACAACTAAATCTCTTAGAATACAAAAGAAGAAATGCAATTTTTCGCAGAGAAATGAAGCAACAAAAGAAATCCAGCTTTCAAGACTTCGCAAAAACAATAAACGTCAACACATCAGCACAGGAATTATGGAGTAAAGTCAAAAGACTAACAAATCAGAACACGCAACACTCAATTATAGCACTTCAAATCCACAACATATAATTACTCACCCCAAGTTAATAGCCCACCATTTTGCCCAAAACTTGTCAGAGCACTCATTAGACGAAAACTTTCCCGACCAGTTCAGACAAGCAAAGTCGCTGCAACAAACTCCCAATCAAGTTACCTCGAAAAGTGCAAGGGAAATGGAAGCCGACATAACAATTAGTAGTAGTAGTAGTAGATTCTTTATTTAGCCGTAGCTATTTAAAACTTTCAGGTACAGTTTAGAAATACAAAATGTATCTTAAGAATAGTTAATTGACTTATTGTGAGCTATAATGTTCTCTAATATGATATATTATCAGTCTTTTAAATACATTAATATTTCTTTCGTTTTTTATATTGCTTGGCAATTCATTGAATAGTTTTAGACCTTTATACATTAAAACATTTTGTGCCTTATTGGATTTATCAAATTTGATTCTAAAATCATTCTTGTTTCTTAAGCTGTAGGGTTGCGCATCTCCCACATATGTTATTTGACTCGTTAAGTACTTTGGTAATAGATGATATTTCATTTTAAACACAAAAAGGAGTACGTTCATAGTGGTTCTTTGATTAATATTTAACCATTGCAGTGTGTCTAGCATATAGGTGATTGGCGTCAGCCTGCTACATAGTAGTATACACCGCATCCCTTTGTTTTGTAGTTTTTGCAGCCTGTTTTTCATCTGTGTTGATCCCAGGAATAAAATGGTTGAACAGTAATCAAAGTGTGGCGAAAAAATCCAATTTTTTTTGAGATTTTCCTGCAGATGTAATCTATGTGTTTATCAAAATTTAGCTTTTTGTCAATGACAATGCCGAGAGATTTTATTTCATCAACTTTATCTATTATTGCATCGTTAACTATAATATTATCTTCAGATTCGCCATTGATCACAATTGCTTTCGTTTTTTTTACGTTGAGTTTTAGCTTGTTCATATTAACGTAGTTATAGACAAATTTCAAATTATAATTCAATCTAGCTATACACTCCTGACTTGATTTTCCAGACGTATATAATAGTGTGTCATCTGCAAACTGACAGATTTTAACTCCTTGTAGTATATTTTCCATATTGTAGTAGCGTTGTATAGGCTAGCTTAAGTAATAGATTAATAAATCATGTAAATCATTGTAATAGTGTAATAGTCCCTTTAGCATATTTTTAGTACACGAATAGTGTAACTAGACCTTAAGATTTAGTTATAAGACACCATCTTGTGAAAAGAAAAGAATAAAAGAAGACATTCCAATTTGTGCAGCGAAAGGAGAAGGTGTTTTATTTAAAACCCGGCTACCACTTTATTAACTTGAACCTGTACATTTCATCAGAAGTGGTCACAGAACCCTTCCAACGTAAAGCTTTTAAAATTTCAATATGAATCGGGAAACAATTAACGCGGAGAAGTACTCGCTACTTCAATTAAAAGCGTGGTGCACGGCAGTGGGGCTCAACGCTAGTGGAGCAAAAGCGTCGCTGGCTGCACGACTTAGCGAGCTGTCGGCAGAAGCACGGGGCTTGTGTCCAGGAGCCATTGACGTGCCTGGAGGTGATAGTGTGCCAGAAAAACGCGGCGCGAAAGCTACGGTGCCACCAAATATCGATGGAGGCAATGGTACAGCCAAAGAAAAAAATAACGGCGAAGGTGCTGGCAATGGTGCGAATAGCGGCGATGGACCAAACAACGGCAACGACGCGAATAACGGCGAGGGATCAACCAATGACAAAGGTGCGAATAACGGCGATGGTGAGCGTGGCAACGATGGAGCGAATAACGACGATGATGGCGATTTTACAAATGATAGCAACGGCGCGAATAACGATGGTGCGTCTAACAGCGATGGTGCGTCTAACAACGATGGTGCGTCTAACAACGATGGTGCGTCTAACAACGATGGTGCGCATAACAACGACGGTGCGTATAGCAACGACGGTGCGAATAGAGGCAGTGGCGTAGAGCGGCGCGAATTTTCGCAAGAAATTGTTAGCGTGACAAGTGAGCTAGGGTGCGGCCCAAGTAACACCCGTGAATTCGATGGTACGAAAGTAAGTCTATTAGAAAAGGAGATAGAGTTGCTTAAACTAAAATTAGAGCTACAACAAGGCGGAGCGAAATTGACGGTCGCAACAGACAACGCTAAACCTGGGTTGGAGACTATGAAAGAGCTTATGGCCGACTATGACGGAAGCGAGGATTTTGACATGTGGCGGTCTCAGTTGCTCCATTTTCAGCGAGTTTTACAAGTCAGCGATGAGGCGTTAAGTTTAGTCGTACGGCTCAAAATGAAAGGCGAAGCCCTGATGTGGTACAACTCCAACAAGATGTTTATGCGCACTGTTGGCGAAATCCTCGCAGAAATGGAGGCAATATTCGCAAAGAAAGACAACTTGCTCAATGTACGTAGAAAATTTGAAAGGCGAATTTGGAAGTTTGGTGAAGAGTTCAGTAGCTACGCTAACGAGAAGCGGCTGTTAAGCGCTGGCCTCAACCTATGCGACGAAGAATTTGTTGAATACCTCGTAGACGGCATTCCTAATAAACAATTGCAGATACAAGCCAAGCTTCAGAATTTTAAAAGTGCTGGTGAGGTGACTAGAGCATTTCGGACTGTCGAGTTGCCGCGACGAGCCGCACCAAAAACGAATTTACAAAGTGGTGAAGAGCGGCTAAGGTGCTACAACTGCAATTGCTCCGGCCACATCGCAAAAGAGTGCAGCAAGCCTAAGCGCGAATACGGGACGTGCTTTGCGTGTGGCGAACGCGGACATTTTGCGGCGAGCTGCAAAAACTACAAGAAGTCGACATCCAGTAGCAATTTTGTAAGTTATTTTAGTATTAGTATCGTAGATAATCTTAATGTTGATATGGTTATAGAATGCCTAGTCGATTCGGGGAGCCCAATAAGTCTTGTAAAGAAGAGCCTTGTACCGGGAAGAGTGCAGTTACAAGATGAAAGAAACTCATACTATGGTCTCAATAAGTCAAAACTATCAATTTTTGGAAAAATATTTTGTTATGTCAAAGTGCTCAATAAAAACGTGTTGATTGAACTTATAGTAGTTCCTGACGAATCGATTAGTTATTCAGTTATTTTAGGCAGAAATTTTATTCAGGCAAGCGAAGCCAAGCTTAAAATCGGTGATGTAGAGTTTATGGATGAAACTGCAGACACAGATGTTGTAAACAGTGTAACGAATCTTAATGTTTGTAACAAAGAAAAGGTGGCCAGTAAAAATTCAACATACAAAGCAGCGGTTGTGCCAAAGGTTAGTGTCACAGATAAAGAAGAAGTGGTTAGTGGTAGTTCTACATACAAAATAGTGAACGAAGCCGTCAACGAAATATTAGCGATAGAAATTCCTGAAATGGGCGAAACTGAGTATATGATTAGCGACAAAATAAGTTACAAAGACAAAAAGTATTTTCAAGAGTTGTTCCGAGAAGAATATTTGTGTGCAAAAAGACCAAAAGAGCCTAGGGTCAGGCAGGAAATAAGTTTAGCTTTGGAAGACGAAAAAGTTTTCAGTTGCGCTCCACGAAGACTTTCGTATACCGAAAAGGCAGAGCTACAAAAGATATTAGATGACTACTTAGAAAAAAGGTATATTCGCCCTAGTAGTTCAGAATTCGTTTCTCCAATAGTTTTGGTGAAAAAGAAAACGGGCGAACTCCGAATGTGCGTCGATTACAGGAAACTTAATAAAGTCACGGCAAAGGATAACTACCCTATACCACTGATTGATGACTTGTTGGATCGGTTAGTAAACAAAAAGTTGTTCACGAAGTTAGATCTGAAAAATGGATTTTTTCATGTGTTTGTTGAAGAAAAGTCAGTAAAATATACCTCGTTTACAACGCCACTAGGGCAATTTGAATTCTTAAGAATGCCATTTGGGCTAAGAAACGCTCCGGCTATTTTTCAAAAGTTTGTAAATAAGATATTCTCGGAAATGATACGCAGTGGAGAAGTAATTGTGTACCTGGACGATATTATGATCGCGACAGAGACTGTAGATGAACATATTCACATTTTGAGAAAAGTTTTTCGGTGTCTGGTTGAGAATAAACTAGAGTTGCGATTAGATAAGTGCGAGTTTTTCTCGGCAGAAATTTCATATTTAGGTTACGCGATCACGGGCGAAGGGATACGGGCTGACAAAAAAGGATTGAAAGCAGTTGAAAATTTTACGGTACCAACCAAAGTGCACGAAGTGCAAAGTTTCTTAGGACTCTGCTCCTACTTTCGTAGGTTCATTAAAGATTTTTCGACCATAGCCAAACCCCTTTACGACCTCTTGAAAAAAGAAGATAATTTCGATTCGGTCAGCTGGAGATGGAAACGTTTGATACACTTAAAGCCAAGTTAATAGCCTCCCCAGTGTTAGCGATATACGACCCTTGTGATGCGACAGAACTCCACTGCGACGCGAGTTCACTAGGCTTCGGGGCGATACTGCTTCAGAAGAAAAAGGATAATAAGCTACATCCAGTTTTTTATTTCTCGAAACGTACAACGGATGTAGAGTCTAGGTATCACAGTTTCGAAACACTGGCGATAGTATACGCGTTGAGGAGATTCAGGGTATACCTACAAGGCATAAAATTTAAAATTATTACTGACTGCAATTCGCTGACGCTGACACTAAATAAAAAAGAAATGAACCCAAGGATTGCCAGGTGGGCGCTAGAGTTACAAAATTACGATTACGAACTCGAACATAGAGAGGGTAAAAGGATGCAACATGTGGACGCGTTGAGTAGAGTAAATAACGTCTTGGTGGTTCACACCAACACGTTTGAAGAAAATTTAATTATATGTCAGAATAAAGATAAACACATAGAAGATATCAAAAAGGACTTAGAGTCTAAAGAGAGCAGCCAGTTCGAAATGAGAAATGGGGTAGTGTATAAAAAGAAAGATAAAGATTTACTCTTCTATGTGCCAGAGTCCATGGAACCACATGTTCTATATAAATACCACGACGAAATGGGGCACTTAGGAGTACACAAGGTTGTAGAGACTATAGGGAAAAGTTATTGGTTTCCGAATGTTAGGAAAAAGGCAACCGTTCATATCGAAAACTGCTTGAAGTGTATAGCCTTTTCAAATAAAAGCGGTAAGAAAGAAGGAATGTTACACATGATTCCAAAGGGAAATAAACCATTCGAAATGGTGCACATTGATCATTACGGACCGATCCATAGCAAGGGAACAAAGTTCAAGCACGTGTTGGTAGTAATCGATGCATTCACGAAGTTCGTTCGTTTGTATCCGGCCAAGACAACAGCGTCGAATGAAGCTGTTTTAGCCCTAAAAGATTATTTTCGAGCGTATAGCAGACCGAGGTCTATAGTATCAGATCGGGGAACTTGTTTCACGTCGAGAGAGTTCGAAAATTTCTTAGAAGATAATAACATAGAACACATAAAAGTAGCAACAAGCTCACCTCAAGCAAATGGTCAGGCCGAAATTGTGAATAAAAGTTTAGGTCCAATGATAGCTAAGATGTTAGATGCTGAGAAAGAGGTGGACTGGGAAAATGTCTTGGAGTCAGTAGAACATGCTATGAATAATACGGTTCATAAGGCAACCAAAGAGCAACCCAGTGTATTGCTATTCGGGGTCCGACAGAAAGGAAAGGTCATAGATAGTGTGAGCGAGAATGTGTTAGAATTATTAAACACTCCGAACCACAAAAATATAGAAGATCTTAGAAAACAAGCAGAAGTTGAACAATGTAAAGCACAAACTTATAATAAAGGGTACTCAGATGTTAAACGTAAAAAACCATGCAACTTTAAGTTAGGAGATTATGTAGTAATTTCTAATATTAGCTCGCAGACAGGAGCGTCTAGCAAACTAATCCCTAAGTTCAAAGGGCCGTATAAGATATCTAAAATTCTCGACAACGATCGCTATCTAGTGGAGGATGTAGAGGGCTTCCAGCAAACACAAATACCATACAAAGGTGTCTGGTCAGTCGCAAATCTGAAACCGTGGTACAATTGCGAAAATGCGAATTCCAAAAGATAGGATACGGTTTTTTTGGTAGAGAAAATTTTACGTCATAAGCTCGCGTATATATATGCTGAGCAGAATCAGGTGATTCTATTCATCAGGATGGCCGAGCTGTAGTAGCGTTGTATAGGCTAGCTTAAGTAATAGATTAATAAATCATGTAAATCATTGTAATAGTGTAATAGTCCCTTTAGCATATTTTTAGTACACGAATAGTGTAACTAGACCTTAAGATTTAGTTATAAGACACCATCTTGTGAAAAGAAAAGAATAAAAGAAGACATTCCAATTTGTGCAGCGAAAGGAGAAGGTGTTTTATTTAAAACCCGGCTACCACTTTATTAACTTGAACCTGTACATTTCAATATCATTAATGTATATTAAGAACAGAAGAGTACCAAGCACGGCACCCTGTGGCACGCCTAGTGTTATTTGTGCAGGCTCTGAGATGCCCTCTCAAGTAGCTTCCGAACCACTGATTTTCCACACCATCAATTCCGTACCTTTTCATTTTCTCTATCAGAACAGACCTGTCTATTGTTTCGAACTGCTCTGTACTTTAAAAATAACCAAAGGGAATACACCCGTTTTCGATCGTATATCATATAATATGATCAAGCACCTAAATCTCTCCACAAAAACAAGACTGTTGACACTTTACAACACCATATTTTCCACAGGTATCATCCCTCAAAACTGGAAAGCAGCCACTATCATCCCTATTCCAAAACCCCAAAAAAGCAACCAACTGGCTGGATCGTACCGTCCGATCTCGCTAATCTCGTGTCTTTCGAAATTTGTAGAGAAAATAATAGCCACGCGGTTGCTCTGGTACGCGGAAAAGATGAAGCTCATCTCATCCAACCAAGTCGGGTTTAGACCTGGTAAAGGATGCATTGACGCTCTGCTGCACATTGACTATGACGTCTCAAAAGCTCTGTCAACACGGAATCACACATCAATCTTATCAATTGACTTTGAGAAAGCATTCGATAGGATTTGATCCCACGTTATCCTAAAAACGCTACACCAATGGAAAGTTGGTCCGAAAATTTTCGGTTTCATAAAAGCATTTCTCCAACACCGAAAAATCCGTGTAAGAGTAAATGGCATCTGCTCTACCCTATACCCCTTGTTCAATGGCATTCCACAAGGCTCACCCCTTTCAGTTCTTCTATTCTCCATAGCTTTCAACGAACTCAATTCAATCCTCTCAAATAATGATCGCATCTCTCACTGCATATACGCAGATAATTTATATATCCTATGTAATATCAAAAACAACAATGAATCCAATCAGGTACTCGAGAACGCCCTTAAAGAAATAGATGCATGGACATTAACATCAGGAGCGAAGATATCCTTCGACAAAACAAAAAAAATACACATCTGCAAAAAGCACCAATGTAACGCAAACAACCACAACCAATACTATTCGAAACGTTGAAGAACTCCGAATTCTGGGATTAATATTCACCAATAACTACTCCTGGAATCGCCAACTATCTACACTAAAAAAAGCACTACTGCCTAGAGTCAACCTCATTTCATATCTCTCATACAAAGGATATGTGCACATTAACACCCTCATACACCTCATAAAAACAATAATCATCAGCAAAATTGATTATGGTTTATTTCTTTACGGCTCAGCTTCCAAACCCAGCATTAACACCATAAAGAGCACATATCACAAAGCTATCAGAGCTGCCCTTTTTGCCTTCCGCACTACCCCAGTAACAAATCTGTTAATCGAGTCTGGCCTACCAAAACTTGAAGAACGAATACATACTGTTCGAGCCAAACTTATTCCAAAAATACTCTTCCAAACCAACTCAATAATAGACAAAGATGCGAAAAGACTGGTGTCAAACAAGCGAGCACTAAGGACGGTCCCAGCAATATCAAGAGTGCTGCAACTCTACACCGAATACGATATTGTACCAAAACTCCGGGCAATCGATAATCACAACCCTCCTTGGAAAATTAATCAGGCGTCATACGACTGGTCGTTAAATAGATATAAAAAAGACAGTACCCCTAACTTCACCTTTAAACAACTGTTTCTACAAAAAGCAACCGACCTCAAAAAGAGCGGATGGACTATCATTTACACAGTTGGCTCCAAAACAAACTACTCAACAGCGTTTAGCGTTACGACCGAATCTGGTTCTTATCTAAGCATAAAGCAAATGATCCCTCTTTCCTCAATATTCTCTGCAGAAGCAAGTGCCATTCTAGAAGCGTTGGCGCTATGTACTCATAAAAAGCAAAAAGTGGTCATATGCTCTGATAGCCTGTCACGTCATACGAGCGGTGAGAAATCCCACCTGTAAGAACTGGGAAACCATCAACAACATTAGGGATATACTAATAAAAAACGTCAACAACGTTAAGCTACTCTGGGTTCCAGGACACGCATCGAAGGTAACTCCCACGCCGATGAAGCTGCGAAATTCGCATGTAAGGCTCCCATCGTCACCGCTTCAAGCATAGAAAAAACTGACATAAAACACCACATCCACCAACACCTAAAAGCAAAGTCAAAAACGGAATACCAAAACTACCAACACCCTCACTACTCAGCCATCAACAAAGATCTGTTCCTCCGGAATACCCCAAAAACGTAAACGGTTTTAAAACCAGGATATTTTCTCGACTCCGTCTTGGGCACACAACACAAACACATGCATATCTCCTAAAAAGAGAAAACCAAACAATCTGCGAAAACTGTAACTCACTCCAAACATTGCAACACATCCTCAACGATTGCCCTCTATACGAAGAAGCAAAACAAGCAATACTCGACTCACAGAACACTTCGGAAATACTCTCAATTCCTACCTCCACAAACATTG